ATTTTTTTTTTCGGAAAATTGGTCATACAACTAATTGAACTTTTTCTTTTTTTTAATGTAACTGGCAAATATTGAAAAAAAATATACGTATGAATGGTAGTGAGAATTAAAATGCCATTGAATGGTATATCGAAATTGTAAAACCAAAATATAATTTCAATAATGTTTAAACAATTGAAACAGAATTAAAAAAGCTACCTCGATATTTTATATATACAAGTTTTCTAAAGTTAGTATTACCAACTTTAACAAAAAAAAAATAATATTACCAAGAATATCAGAATTCTCTTGCGAATTTTTTTCTGTTCTTTTATATAGAATAATTCAATTTATTATGATGTATGCCCTCTGACCAGACTTTGGTTGTCAAAGACCTAATGATTCGTCTTTTACAAAGTCAAAATATCGACCTCATCGTGTCCTTTGTTATCTATGTATTATTATAAATTTTCGTTCAGAAACTAAAAAAAATAAAAGTGTCACTTTTTAAAATATCACCTTTTCAAAATCTGTGCAAAAATGTTATTTTTTCAAAATTATTTTTTCGTTTTATAATTTATGTTTGGGTTAACTATGTTGTATTAGAATTTAATTTTGAATGTTTATGAGGTTTTAGTGATCAAAATATTTTTTAGGGTTTAGAATTTTAAGATATATACTTTATAAATCTATAATTTGTGGTATTTTTGCAAATGTACACACAAAAAATAATATTTTTGCAATTGCTCTATTTTCCTTCCTCTGGATAAGATATTGGAATTATTTATTCTCTTTACCCAAATTGATTCAATTATTTGCACCCTTTGACAGTTGAATGTATTATTCCCTTTTATTTAGAATCAGAATGAGGATGATTCTTGAAGAAAAAGACCAAAAGGCCCTCTTCTCCTACTTCTTGATACTCGGAAAAAAATTATATAAAAAGGCAGATTTAGTTGACAAAATTATATGTCTGTATATTATAATTATCAGCTGACAAAGAAAAAACAGAATTGTTGTTTAAAGAGATGATTTCTTTTGTCATACTTTAAAGAGATGATTATGCGTGGAAACTATTTGGAATATATCACGAATATGATATATAATACCTTTAATTACGCACATGCTTAAGACATGAAATACAGTTAGAAATACATTTGGAAAAATTATTGGAGCACTCATACTTTATACACATTCACGAAATCACAATAGCTCGCATCTAATTCATTTATAAAATCACAATAGCTCGCATCTAATTCATTTATATTTTATAAGATTAGACGAGGTAGTTTCGATCTTCATAGAATTAATTCGAAAAGCATATAATTTTGAAAGAATATATGAACCATATAACTCCCATACACTCCTATTTATGATATATACATGAAAAAAATTTTAAAATGTCACTTTTTCAAAATCTTTGCAAAAATACCATTTTTTCAAAAAAAATATTTATTATATCATTTATGTTTAGGTAAACTATGTTGTATTAGTATTTAGTTTTGAGAGTTTAAGGAGTTTTAAGGATCAAAATATTTTTTAGGGTTTTATAATTTTAAGATTTAGGGTTGAAAAATTCATAATTAGTGGCATTTTTACAAATAGACACCTCTAAATGGCATTCTTGCAAATTTACATACCAAAAATGGTATTTTTGCAATTGCCCCTATATATCCAATTTTATTCAACAACAGAGTTTCTACTTTATAATATGAAAATTCTTAAGTTTTAAACTGACCTTATACATTTACCCGAAATTTTCATATCTTATCTTCACTGAACAATTATTTTATTCATCTATAATTACCATAGTCCAAACATGTACCATTAGAGACATTTTCAAATAAGTACCATTTTTAATTTTTTCATTGCATAAAGCAATAATATTTTTTAATGACAATCTCACCAAAAGATTTTAAATGTGTTCCGAAACACCATAAAAATCAGCTCCGGAAAAGGTTTGAAGAAAGAAAAAACACTTTCAAATGAATATTTTCAAACATTGTAATGCTCTAAATGAACAAATATACAAATGGTAGTATTTTAAAGAAACTATTTGTAATGATTAGGTCTCGGAAAAGTAGTACACCTTAAGTAATTAAATAATTTGTTTATAATTTTTCTTCAAATGGTTTGTTCAATATTAACAATAAGAACAAAATCCAGACAAGAAAAGCAATATGTCTGGCTGGCCGCAAAGCCGGAAAGATGATAAAAAAGGATCATACAATCCATCCATTATTCATCCAACTTAGTCTCTCCTTAATTATACAAATGCATTCTCATTCCTTTTTTATTATATTAATTTCATATATCTATATATTTCAGTTATATACATTCTAT